GCTCTCTCCGTGAAGGAACAGGTCTTGCAAGTCCACGACCAATGTCCCTAGGTCCCCCAAAATTAGGTCTTCCAGCAGGGCCAACTCCAGGTGCCATATGCCCAGCTCTGTAAGGAACTCTTCGCCCTAATGAAAAAAAGAAGCATATCAAGTGCGCAAAGACAACATAAAAGTCTAGGAAGATGTACTCATAGAGGAGCTGATTGTTGGCTAGTGGCTACAAAAGATAGATTAATTACCATAAGGTCCAACAGGCTCATTGAACTGACCACGAGAGGGTCTGCCATACTGAAAATTAGGCCGATTTAATGCAGGTGCTGCACGCCCAAAGCTCCTTCCTACCAACAAGTACATTTAATGTAAGATAGCATACAAAGGGAAAAAGAATCAGAAGACACTGAAAAGCTTAGCCTGCATACCACTAGGTCGGCCAATTCGAAAACCACCGCACATTCCTCCCTTAACAGCTTGAGTTTTAGGCAATGGATTGGAAAGCCTTGCTCTTACTTTTGTCTAAACAATGAGATAGATAAATCAGAACAAAAACAGCAGATACTTAAGCTCCATGAAAAGTCAGGCAACAACAAATAAGTTATAGTATTAGTTATTTCACATACTCTTTTGACAATTTAAACATGGTTACTACAGATAGGAGGAATAGAATATCTTGCTAAAGTACAACACCAACACCCTGCACAGGAGCATAAAAGAAACTAGAGGGCAACAAACTCAATGTATTGCTATATCTTGTCAAAGCACAGCACCAACACCCTGCACAATATAATAAAGGGACCATACAAAACACATCTATACTATATATTAAAAGGCGTTCCTAAAGAAGTTTAGATGCCACGTGGCGCTCTCTTCAAGGCATTCCTAAAGAAGTTTAGGTGCCACGTGGCGCACCCCTCATTTAATCCAATTTTCACTCCATGTCTAAAAATATGGTTCTTACAAGATTTGAACCAACAACCTCAAGTTAAGTTTCAACCTGTTAGTCACTAAGCTATTACCATATTACATGTCATTCAATAAAAAATAAATATTACTTCCTCCGTTCTTTATTACTTGACCCGCTTTGACTTTTACACTATTCACCACCCCTCCTTTGACCATATTTTGTGAATAATATGTAAGGAAAAATATATTCATGTATGATCTTTTTGGATTCGTCTCAATAAGTACTATCATAACATATAACTTTTATAATTTTTACTTTTGGAAAATTTAAGTTATTGATTGTTAAAGTTTTGCATTGGCAAGCGTGATAAAAGAAACAGGTCAAGTAAAAAAAGAAAAGAGGAAGTAATAAAGATTTTTGTCATGGAAATAATGCATTAACTCGAGGCATCGCCAGGGACTAACACTAGTGACAATCAAACATGGTTACTACAGGATAGGCGGAAAATAATATCTTGCTTAAGTACAACACCACACACCCTGCATGGAAGCATAAAGAAACTAGAGGGGCAACAAACTCAATGTATTACTATATCTTGTCAAAGCACAACACCAAACACCATGCATAATACAATAAAGGGACACTACAGGGAATCTGGGATAACAAAATCACGCATCACAAAACATAAGACAGGCAAGAACAAACACTCTAGCACCAAAAAACTAAATAAAATCAGATAGAGCCAACTATAAAATCCAGATAATAATTATGGCTGCTCTCTTTAACAGTTTTTTTTAACCTGGAACTGTTATTTAAGGATTAAATTGAGTTTAACTGGGTTTTAAAAATATATATATATGTATAAAACAGAAGGGTGGGATGTGCATCAAAAAACACCCAAAGGGAGGTAAAAATTTATCATGAGACAGGAGTAAATGCATCAGTTAAGTGTTGTGTAGAGTTGAGTGGGTAGGTTGATTTTTCTAAGTAAGTGGGGGACTAAAAATGTAAAAGATAATTCCAATTCGGGGATTGTATTCCCTTGCCCACCCTTTGTCCCTATAAACAAACACCCAGTAGGAAGTAGAAAACAAAGAAACATCCACAATTAAGGCGATTCCACAAAATATATAAACATAGGTGAAAAGAAAAACCAGAAACAAAGTTGGAACCAAACCTTTGAGTTTCATCAACTAACTCCTTACTATTCACATCCTCTATGCAAGCAATGGCAGACTCATGAGCAGTGAAATCAACAAAACCGAAATCTTTACGCTTAGCAGATGACATATTGCGAGCCAGCGTAATACGTTCAATCTCACCATAAACTTTGAAATGCTTCCTAACACGGTCCTCATCCCAGTGAGGAGGAAGCCCATCTACAAAAAACTGATTTAACCTTAGCCATCACCTCAGGATCGGGCTCTTGAAGCGGCTCAGCAAAAGCAACCTTAGCAGTCCTCTCAGTGTGGCCAAATATAGCATCTGGCTTCTGAAGCCTCTTATAAGCAAACATTGCATCAGCATGGCAAGCAAACTGAATAAAACAGAATCCACGGCTTAAACCCTCATGGCGAGGGTCTTGGACAAGGGTAATGTTCTCAACACCTTCAACACTATAATCTTTCAGCTTCTGTTTTATCTGCAGAAAGAGATGATAAAAATCATTTTAAAAAATAAAAAACAAAACAAACAAAAAACATCTCAACAAAAATCACTATTCAAAATAAATTCAGTCTTACCGCTTCCTTAGTCCACGTATTGCAGACATTACCAAGGAATAAGGTGTCATTGTCCTCATTAGGTGCAGTCCCACATCGCTTACCACGTATCTGTTTTACACAATTTATGAAAAGAGAGGCTTAAGAAAGAATAAAGATGGTAAATACGAGTGCTACATAAAAGACACTCTTTGATATGACAAAGAAAACATACAACAGGATTTTTCATTTCTGATAACGCCCGCTTAGCTTGGTCTTTAGTCGCAAACCTCACAAATGCAAAGCCCCTGTTCTTGTTTGTCAAAGTATCCTTCAACAGTCTAACTTCAACCACCTCCCCAACTTTCTCAAAAGTCTTCTTCACATCATCTTCAATAACTTCGCGATCCAGCCCACCAACAAAAATCTCAAGTTCTTTCTTGACCTTGCGCTCCTTGGCTGCGGCTGCCAATTCTTGTGCTCCACTTCCAGTGCCTTCATTTCATCCCCAGTCTCAGGCTCGTCATCCTCCTGAAGGTCCTCATCCCAGGCTCCACAAAACCCTCCTCATCACCATACTCCTCGATTCCCCCAGTAGCACAAGCCTCGTCTTGTTTTGATTCAGCAGCCTGTTCATCTGTCTTATCCATTTTGTCACTGTCCCTATTCTTTAGCATATCGTGAACATTTACATTCTCTTTCTTTTGATCATCATCCATGCTATCTGACTTATCACGTACTAGTTTTTCTAGATTGTCTTTTGCTTGTTTGTCGGGATCAGCAGCCTCGTCTTGTTTTGATTCATCATCCTTATCCTCTTTGGGCTCACTTGTATCCTCATTTCCAGCAGAAGATACATCCTCAATAGCCACAACAGGTGACTCTATTCCATCCATTTTTTCTTTGCCCTTATCTTGGGGTTCTCCACCATCTGGAACCTTATCAGTAACTAGCTCCTCTAATTTTAAATCCTTCATAACAAATTCTTCAGATTTTGAAAGATTTACAGCCTTTGCATCTGTGGAATCCGTGACATCAACATTGCTATCGCCAGCCTCACCTGTCTTCACGGACGCTGATGTGCCATCTTTAGCTGAAGCAGGAGTCTTGGGTCTGATCACCCTCTTTCTTCACTATTCTCTTTGTCACCTTCTTTGTAGTACCTTTGTTAGTTGGTGATACAACAGCATTTTCAGCTGCATTTGGGAGGGGAAGGGGGTTAATGAGGAATAAGTACATAAAATAACTCATATATCATGAACTATTCTGAATACATAGAAATAAAAGTCCCAGAGTTGTTTGAATGTCGAGCTTTGATAATGGCCATGGAGACGATACCCAGGACCTCAGATCGAATCCCTTCTAATGACTAGAAATCTTAATTCACAGCCACACTCAATCTATCATGCATGCATCATCCAGATATTTATAAATCTCTCCTCTATATAAACAGCGTCGGAAAATTCAATACTTTAATCTCCCCTCATAAAATTTAAAAAAATAAAATAAAATATTAATCTTTGACATCCAAATCCACATAAAAAAAAATAATAGTGATTATAAAAAAAATAGAGACGAACATCCGCCTATTCCATCACATGCAAAATTAAAAAAAAAAAAAAAAAAAAATGTAGATTGAATATACCTGCAGGTTCGGGGTTGAGGTCGGCGGTAGAAGGAGTAGTCTGGGGTTCGGGGTTTCGAGAAGCCGTAGATTTTGGTGTCGACGTCTCCGGCGTGGAATCCACCGGTAGAGAAGGAGGAGTAGGCGTTTTGACAGCGGACTTCTTCGCCGACGGTGGCTTCTTTTGTGATGCCGGCGTTTTTGGGGTATTTGCGTTTCGAGTCCTCATAATTCTGAGGGTCTATCGGATTGATTGGCGTAAAAACAGACCGACAATTTTTTGTTATTAATTAAAGTTGAAACCCTAGAAAGGTCGGGTTTTCTGGACTTTGGAAGGAAGGGTAATTCTTAGTCAATGCTTATTGCTTTATACTGTAATTTATATATGTCTCGAAATCTCTATTCCTCCTCTTCGGTTTTTTTTTTTTTTTTTTTTAAATTTAAAATACTGTAATGTTTATATGGGTTATCCCCATTTCCTCCGCCTTTTGCTTAATGAGTTTCAACCGAGCTTGAATTCGAGTAATTTATTGATCAACTCGATTTATTTACACCTCCGTCTAGAAGTAATCAACTATGGTACAGTTTGATCTAATCCCAAAAAGTGAGTTTTAAGAAACTATTTTAGTTAAAAAAACTAAATTTAATTCGACAAGCCCGCCACTTTTTACGAGTTTTGCCATGAAATTTATTGTTAAGGTCCAACCCAACCCAAATTTATTGTTATCCCTTGTACAATTAGACAATCAGTCTATCTATATGCAATTTCACGCAGTAGCAAAAATTTAAGATCTAATATAAATCTCTCCATAAAAAATTTAAAACAAAACAAATATTTTGACACTACATTTTCCTCAATTTACAATAGACAGATTTGAAGAAATGCCTTCAAAACTCTTTGATTCATAAACAAAAATGGTAATAAAATAATAGCCAACTTTTAGTACATATATATACACAGAGAATTCAACAGGAATTGATAAAATATGGGATGAGAAACCACGGAACGTTTCTACATATCAGCCACGAGACGTTTCTACATATCAGCTACCTCCCAAATTTACCCTATTTCTAGGACCTCTCATGGCAACCCGAAACCTGGCTGAATATCGAGGCTCTTCATCTCTCTTCTTCTCTGACCTGAACTCGTCTCTTGTTCCTTGCCTGCTTACGTGATGTTGAGGGGGTGATTTCTTTGCTCCATCATCATCATAATATAATGGTTCAAGTCCTTGCAAGTGGTATGGGAGAATAATCCACAGGCCGCTTTGATTCATCCATTCTCCTGAAAGTAATAGAAATCCTAGAAAGAGCAAAAGGAGAGGAAAAGGGCACTTAAAAGTCATCGCTTAACCAAAAACAAGCTGAAAATAACCATCATACAACACACAAATTGAAAGATGAGACAAAAAAACATAGATGGATACCTCTTAGATGGTACTGCAGGAACACAATGCTTGGCAACATCAGCACCATTTCCATTTAATACCATAACCGATCTAAAGGAAGCAACATCAAATATTACCATTTGTACCCATTAAACCATAATAGGTATAAACAACACAGAAGACACATCGGAATTAGGAAACTTAATAGTGAATGGACTGCACTTACCCAACGGGCAAGGGTATTGCTATAGCGCCACTAAATTCTCCAGGGGCTTCAATCTTCAAGTCTGTTCCAAATACTATATTGCATTCACTGAGAAAAGAAATAGTACAAAATGGCCGAACAAAATCATGATTATCGATATGTGGAGGTATGCAGTCTCCTTCTTCATAAATGTTGACAATACAGCTGTCAGGAATGCAGGACGGGGGAAGAACATGCCATCTGATCAACCTCTTGATTATCACTTTAAAAAGAGAAGGTAAGGGATCAACTTCTCCGCGTTTCAGAATACCTGGTGGGTTACCATTTTTATCCTGCAATTATCAGTATAGCATTCAATATTTGTGCAAATTTAACACCATATATGCAAGATATATAAGGGCAGTCAAATAGACAGCTTACAGTAGCATAATTATAACAGCAACAAATTGGATAGTCACACGCCCTTTACCCTTCATCCACTTTCTAGGTGCTGTGTAAGTGCGTTCTGAAGCAACAGCAAACACTAGAAATTAGGAGATTCTACAGAGCAAAGTAGAGATTGTGATCTTTAAAGAGGGAATGAAATTTTATCCCATCAATATATCATAACCTAATTTATACTCAATGACTAAGCAAAAGAAACATCATCACAGAACAAAGCCAAATATCACATCTAGAAACAAACTCTTCAATCCTGCAAAGTAGTTTGGCTACATCAGTCAGCTTAGAGTTAATCTTCTTGGCTATCATGCTCTACACAACTACAAATCACAAAAACAAGTATATATTCACTTAGTAAGCAACAAGTAAACAAGCATCATGTTCAAATACATGAAAAGAGAATATTGATACAATCTGGTGTTATGTTCTTCATTAAGACAACATCTAGTCAAACAAACATTCCATTATTTTTATCATGATTCAAATCAAGTAAATCTCTAATTTTAATTTTTTTTTTTTTTTTTTTTTTACTCCATTTCCCGGTTCCCTTATCCACAGATTCAGAAAGGGAACAAAAAAAGAACTCATTTGACTTTTGCTATCAGATTTTGCTAATTAAAATATACAATGTATTATAGTTAAAAGTACAATAATATTCAAAGCTAGATTATCTTTTTAAAAAATTTCAAGCAGCCAATGGGGAAAGTATACTTTGATCTGAATCTTAATTCCTAGAGGAAGGCAGGTGGATATTTTAAAGTTTAATCTCTCAAACTCACAAGAATCCACCATCCCTTAAAATAGCTAAAAGAAGGTAAAGAGCTGAATTTCTAGCTCGATATCTCACTTAAGTCTAAAAAGCAA